ACTACTTACCAAAAGTGGTGCAAAGAAGGACAACAGCTGTACTGGTGTCAGGGTCATGGGTGCCTAATTATCATTGATGTCCGTGGGGAGCGAAGGCTAGCTCGTCTGGTCCTGTCAGGTTATACCTGCCGTGCTTTTCGCCGAAAGAACCCACTTCCGGGTTCACGGAGCTTCGCCCTGCCCCTTTTTTCTGACGCGGTCCTTCCACGCTACATAGGAAGACCGCGCCAGATTCAAAGGGCTGGATTATTGTACAGGTGTCTGTAAAACTTACCAGCTGCTCTATTTTGAACTTACCGTGTACCGAATAACGCTCTGGGACGACTACCCTCCTTCTCCACTCCTTGACCTCGGCTTGTTAAATAGACTTCTATTCCTCTACACAACTATTGGATTTAATTAAGCTCTTCAGTTCCAGAACTGCCTCTTAAGCTAAGTATTAGTTCCTACAATCAAGCTACTCTCTGTTACTAATAAGAGACTGTTTCTAAGGCTCAATACTGTGTCATTCAATCAAGTTACTCTCTGTTATAAATAAGGAACTGCTTCTAAGGCTTAATTCTACTTCCAACAATCAAATTATTCTTAGTTGCAATTCTGTCTTGCCTCATTGATAATTTTGCTTGCAGTTATTCTATCACAATTAATATAACCTAACTCTGCATACATTCTCTGCACTATTCTTAAATTGGGACTGTTTGGCTTTGTGCAAATCATCAGTGGCTTATTTTTTCCTTGCAATTAACATCCTGCTTGAAGGTTTAAAGCTACAGTATCCTCTCCTCCACATCAGTAACAAAAAGAGGTAAAACTAACAGTTACTGGAATTAAAATTTCTGCAGTTGAGTTCCAAATAAATTATTGTTACAGGTCCGATCCCACAGAAAAGCTACTGTAGCTCAAATTGCTGAAAAACATAATGCTAGCCATGATAGAAATGTGTCAGAAGACACTGTGCATCACAGTTTGTGGTGTATGGGGCTGCGTATTGCCGTCATAGTGCCCATGACGAGCCCTGTCTACCGCCCAAAGTACCTTCAATGGGGATGTAAGTGTCAGAACTGAACAATGGAGCAATGGAAGAGGTATGCATTTTTTCCCTACCAAACTTCCACAGGGCCAATAGGACTATGCTGTGTAAACACAGATAAAACTAACTGGATATAAATCCCATCTCTACCACCACAGCCCTTGTAAACCCCCTACTAAGTGCTCCAGCGATGCTTCTTACAGGTGCCTTTTTTCTTCTGGGCTAAAACCGATCAGTTCTCATCTTAATTCAGGGTTTGACGTTTGATACGCAATGACGTTAGTAAAGTCAGAATCTGGAATTAAAGTGAGAACTGATAGGTTTAACACAGGACAACAGCACGATTACTATTACCTCACATACGCTAAGCTGATCTTTTTCTTATATTTTTCTGCATTGCCTTGATGGGACATTTATATGTGTCTTACTTATAAAATGTGGATCAGGTTCAGTATAATATATTTTAATTCAAGAAAAATAAATCCCCTATTAGAGAGGAAAACAGAGAAAATCTCTAAAATAAATGTACATTATGAATAGTGATGTCGCGAACACGAAATTTTCGGTTCGCGAACAGCGAACGCGAACTTCCGCAAATGTTCGCGAACCGGGCGAACCGGGGGAACCGCCATAGACTTCAATGGGCAGGCAAATTTTAAAACACACAGGGACTCTTTCTGGCCACAATAGTGATGGAAAAGTTGTTTCAAGGGGACTAACACCTGGACTGTGGCATGCCGGAGGGGGATCCATGGCAAAACGCCCATGGAAAATTACACAGTTGATGCAGAGTCTGGTCTTAATCCATAAAGGGCAGATATCACCTAACATTCCTAAATCACAATGGATATGGATTGATACCTGACATATGACATATTGACAAAGAGCAGAATAGGGACTGTTCCCCCTACATAGGGTCACTTGGCAGCTATGGATTGACACCTGTCCTCAGAGACCATGATACACACTGACACAGAGCAGAATAGAGACTGTTCTCCTACATAGGGTCACTTGGCAGATATGGATTGACACCTGTCCTCAGAGACCATGATACACACTGACACAGAGCAGAATAGAGACTGTTCCCCCTACATAGGGTCACCTGGCAGATATGGATTGACACCTGTCCTCAGAGACCATGATACACACTGACACAGAGCAGAATAGAGACTGTTCCCCCTACATAGGGTCACTTGGCAGATATGGATTGACAGCTGTCCTCAGAGCCCCTGATAGACACTGACACAGAGCAGAATAGAGACTGTTCCTCCTTCATAGGGTCACTTGGCAGATATGGATTGACACCTGTCCTCAGAGATCATGATACACACTGACAGAGCAGAATAGAGACTGTTCCCCCTACATAGGGTCACTTGGCAGATATGGATTGACACCTGTCCTCAGAGACCATGATACACACTGACACAGAGCAGAATAGAGACTGTTCCCCCTACATAGGGTCACTTGGCAGATATGGATTGACACCTGTCCTCAGAGCTCCTGATACACACTGACACAGAGCAGAATAGAGACTGTTCCTCTTACATAGGGTCACTTGGCAGATATGGATTGACACCTGTCCTCAGAGATCATGATACACACTGACACAGAGCAGAATAGAGACTGTTCCCCCTACATAGTGTCACTTGGCAGATATGGATTGACACCTGTCCTCAGAGACCATGATACACACTGACACAGAGCAGAATAGAGACTGTTCCTCCTACATAGGGTCACTTGCCAGATATGGATTGATACCTGTCCTCAGAGACCATGATACACACTGACACAGAGCAGAATAGGGAATATTCACTAAATGCCAAACATTGTTATAAAGGGGAATATTCAGTAAATAAGGATAAGGGGGGACCTACTGTCCTCCCCCCTGGCCCCCACCAATGCACGGTGGGTGGGGGCCATAAATCTCAATGGGGGGGGACCTACTGTCCTCCCGCCCACCCCCACCCGTGAGCGGTGGGTGGGGGCCATAAAAATAATGAGGGGGGGACCTACTGTATGATGTTGGATCGATCAGGTAGTGTAAGGGTTACGCCCGCTTCACAGTGACAGACTAAACTCCCCGTTTAACGCACCGCAAACAACCGAAAACAGTCCATTTGCACAACCGCAAACTCCCCATTTGCACAAGGTTGGATACCAAGGTAGCCATGTCCCGTTCCTTGTCCTCACTGATGTCATTGAAGGTCTCTTCCTCCACCCAGCCACGTACAACACCAAGGGTCCCCGAAAGGTGACAATAATCCCCCTGGGACGCCTGCTGTGTTTGGTCTTTGTGACGAGACCAATCTCGCCACATTGCATTGGAGAAGCCTGGTTGCTCGCCTGCTGCCTTTGGACTATGGCCCCCTTTTAAAAGACTTTATTTTTGCCTGCAGAAAAGCTGTATTCGTGCTTTTCTGCCTGGGGTTCAGTAGATTTGTTTGGATGTGTTATACCCCAGATAGGAATCCCATGGAGCCCATTCGTATGAAACTGACTGTAAAGACTTTGGCTCCATGGCGATTAAACTGTATTCGTGTGGTCTGAGCGCCATTCGCTTAATAATGTGCGCTCGGACCTGAGCTATCTAGGGATATGTTACATGTCTGTGTTTTATGTAATAAATGTGACTTTATGTATTTTAAAGTGTTTTGTGTCTTTTTGCAACCATGTGCTTAATGGAGTCTTGTGTCTATCCTGGGAGATAATTGAATTACTTATCTCAGGATAGAAGACTCTGAAACTGGTTTGGGCCAGAAAGCCATGCTTCATTTAGTCACAAAGGACTTTTTACTAACTTTTGAACCCCTTGTCTGATTTGTGCCATTTTGAATATGTTGTTCCCCTGAATGGATTGATTGAGAATATGTAATTTTATGTGAATGTGATGTATGGTTTTGGAGTTATGAAAGTTGGGTAGAAAGTATGTTTTAACTGTTTGTATAATTGAGTTTCCTCTCAGGATAAGGAGAGGGAATATGTGGGATGTAACTGTGATATGATTGGTTGTTTTATCCCTCCCTGTGGGTGGTCCTGTATTTGAAACACTGTAATAAAAACCAGGCTGGGTGTGCCAGCACCTCAGACCACTGCTTGTCCCTCAACACGGAGCCTTGTCTCGTTCTTGGGGGGATTCACTGTATGCTGTTGGAGACTGATTGCCAGGAGTGTAAGCCGCTTGGGAGCTTTTCCTGTTCGTCTGCTGGCAGCTATTCGTGAGGTTCCAGTTCGGGAGTTGGAGTGCTATTTTGTATCCAGTTCGGGAGCTTGGTGTTCTGCAGTAGCTGTGCCTGCATCTCTGGAAAGGGGGCCGATCGCCTAAACGGTTTTTACCCCTTTTGTGCAAAACGGTCCGTTACAGTCTTCCACCTCCTCAAAGCCACCTTTCTCCTCTGACTCCTCTTCTTCAGACTCCTCTCTCTGCGTTGCCTCTCTCTGCGTTATTATAAGGTGTGTTAAGTAGTATTATTCTTATCAGTTTAATCCCTGTTATGTGCCTTTTTTTTTGGTTTGGTTTTTGAAACCACAGTGCAGCACCAGAGGCCCGAAAAATTAGGCATGTACACATGCCTGAAAAATTAGGTATTGTTGCAGCCGCTGCTGTAGCAGCGGCCAGAAGAATTGATGTTTGTTTCCCAGGCAGAAAGTGCCCTAAAACAGTGTTCCCCAACCCCCTGGCTGCGGACCGGTACGTGGATCAAACGTTTACCGGTCTGCGGCGATAAAAAGGTTGGGGAGCACTGCCCTAAAACATTGCGGCTTGAACCCTAGTTGGTGGCGGATAAGTCACGCAAGTCAACCGGCATTCAGAGCTAAAATACAGCAGCGTGTGGACCATTTTAAGCCCAAGGCAGCTCATCTCATCAGGCCTTTTTTAGTCGGATGTATCGCCCACTGTCAGTCCCGTCGGGATCCATCCCTCATTCATCTTAATAAAGGGGAGGTAATCTAGACTTTTTGACCTAGGCGACTTCTCTTCTCAGTGACAATACCTCCTGCTGCACTGAAGGTCCTTTCTGACAGGACACTTGAAGTGGGGCAGGCCAGAAGTTCTATCGCAAATTGGGATAGCTCAGGCCACAGGTCAAGCCTGCACACCCAGTAGTGAAGGGGTTCATCGCTCCTCAGAGTGTCGATATCTGCAGTTAAGGCGAGGTAGTCTGCTACCTGTCGGTCGAGTCGTTCTCTGAGGGTGGATCCCGAAGGGCTGTGGCGATTCGTAGGACTTAAAAAGCTCCGCATGTCCTCCATTAACAACACGTCTGTAAAGCGTCCTTGCCGACGTGGTCGTGGGAGGAGGAGGATTACTTTCACCTCTTCCCCTGTTAGATCCCCGTTGTGCTGTGACATCACCCTTATACGCTGTGTAAAGCATACTTTTTAATTTATTTTGCAAATGCTGCATCCTTTCCGACTTGTTGTAATTTGGCAACATTTCAGCCACTTTCTGCTTATACCGGGGGTCTAGTAGCGTGGACACCCAGTACAGGTCGTTCTCCTTCAGCCTTTTTATACGAGGGTCCCTCAACAGACACGACAGCATGAAAGACCCCATTTGCACAAGGTTGGATGCCGAGCTACTCATTTCTCGTTCCTCCTCCTCAGTGATCTCAATGAAGGTATGTTCTTCCCCCCAGCCACGTACAACACCACGGGTACCAGATAGGTGACAACGAGCACCCTGGGATGCCTGTTGTGATTGGTCTTCCTCCTCCTCAAAGCCACATTCCTCCTCTGACTCCTCTTCCTCACAATCCTCTTCCAGCGTTGCCGCAGGTCCAGCAAGCGATGCTGATAAGGCTGGTTCTGGTGGTGATGGTGACCACAACTCTTCCTCGTCACGCTCATCTACAGCCTGATCTAGCACTCTTCACAGGGCACACTCCAGGAAGAAAACAAATGGTATGATGTCGCTGATGGTGCCTTCGGTGCGACTGACTAGGTTTGTCACCTCCTCAAAAGGACTCATGAGCCTACAGGCATTGCGCATGAGCGTCCAGTAACGTGGCAAAAAAATTCCCAACTCCCCAGAGTCTGTCCTAGCACCCCAGTCATACAAATATTCATTAACGGCTTTTTCTTGTTGGAGCAGGCGGTCGAACATTAGGAGTGTTGAATTCCAACGTGTCGGGCTGTCGCAAATCAAGCGCCTCACTGGCATGTTGTTTCGCCGCTGGATATCGGCAAATGGAATGTAGGAATGCCTGAAATGGCCACACACCTTCCTGGCCTGCTTCAGGTCGTCCTGTAAACCTGTGTACTTATGCACAAAGCGTTGTACGATCAGATTACACACATGTGCCATGCACGGCACATGTGTCAACTTGCCCAACTTCAATGCCGCCAACAAATTTGTTCCGTTGTCACAAACCACTTTGCCGATCTCCAGTTGCTGCGCAGTCAGCCACTTTTTCACCTGTGCGTTCAGGGCGGACAGGAGTGCTTGTGCGGTGTGACTCTCTGCTTTCAAGCAAGTCAAACCCAAGACGGCGTGACACTGCCGTATCCGGGATGTGGAATAGTACCTGGGAGCTGGGGGGGTGCCGTTGATGTGGAGCAAGACGCAGCAGCAGAAGAGGACTCAGCCGAGGAGGTTATGGAAGAGGATGGAGTAGGAGGAGTAGAGGAGGTGGCAGCAGGCCTGCCTGCAAGTCGTGGCGGTGTCAACAACTCCTCTGCAGAGCCACACATTCCATGCTTGGCAGCCGTCAGCAGGTTTACCCAATGCGCAGTGTAGGTGATATACCTGCCCTGACCATACTTTGCAGACCAGGTATCAGTGGTCAGATGGACCCTTGCCCCAACACTGTGTGCCAGACATGCCATTACTTCCTTTTGCACAATCGAGTACAGGTTGGGGATTGCCTTTTGTGAAAAGAAATTTCGTCCGGGTACCTTCCACTGCGGTGTTCCAATAGCTACAAATGTTTTGAACGCCTCAGACTCCACCAGCTTGTATGGTAAAAGCTGGCGGGCTAATAGTACAGACAAGCCAGCTGTCAGACGCCGGGCAAGGGGGTGACTTTCTGACATTGGCTTCTTACTCTCAAACATGTCCTTGACAGACACCTGACTGTGGGCAGATGAGCAGGAACTGCTCAAGGCGAGAGACGGAGTGGCGAATGGTTGAGAGGGGGCAAGGAGGACAGCAGTGGTTGACGTGGCTGAAGATGCTGGACCAGGAGGAGGATGACGGCTTTGAGTTTGTGTGCTGCTTGTACTCATGTGTTGATCCCATAGGCGTTTGTGATGTGCGATCATGTGCCTACGCAAAGCAGTTGTACCTAGGTGGGTGTTGGACTTTATTGTGACACTTAGAGAAAGTGATCTTAGATTACTTCCTCTCTGCACTTGTGAACGTGAATAGAGCAGCTCACAGCAGCTACCTCAGCTCCTGTGTTTGACCTGCACCTGACCAGTTCAGTCCCCACTAGATCCAAGGGGAGTCATCCACATTGCTAGAATGCTGCAGAAGAAGCCTACACCTCTACACCATTCAAGTTGTTCCCTTTAGGTACTGTATCTCTTTACTGCATTCCAGTCACATTGGCGAGGTGTTGCAACTTTTCTGCAAAGTATGCGAACTGCTGCCGCAATGTCTGGTCTTGTTACTGTGTCAATGTATAGCAATTTTCCAATGGCCTTGTGGTAATTATTATTGTTGGTTAACAAATTTTCTGTTCCACTGTTTTTCTGATAATCAGGTTTCATTGGTGTTTTCACTTCCTTTGCATCTTGCATGTGAAACTGTTCTAATATTTCTGTAATTTTTTGACATTGGTTAAGAAGATAGCTTCCATCTTCTTCCCTCTCTATTTGAATTTCTAGTAGTGACTGATGTTCCCTAGCTCTTTAATCTTAAAATTCTGTTTCAATTTGTTAACTATTTGGTCATAATCCCCTTCTTGTTCAAAACAAATTATACTGTCGTCAACATAAATTAGAATGTATATCCATTTGATTTCTTGATTCTTTGAATAAAGACATGGATCTGCTTTACTTCTTGAGAATCCTTCTTTTGTGAGTATTTCATTCACTTTTGCATTCCACATTCTTGCAGCCTGTTTGAGTCCAAAGAGGTTCTTTTAAAGGTTGTGTTCCTTTTCGAACCCTGGTGGCTGTTCTATATAGAGATCTTCCTTGATGTCTCCATATAGGAAAGCAGTTTGCCTACTATCTGAGTATATTTACTTCAGCATCATATTTTACTTTGAAAGTCAATTTGCCTTCTAGGATATTTATGGAGGCATGAGGGGCCCAGGGAGGCTAGATGGTGGTTTTAACACTATAGGGTCAGGAATATATGTTTGTGTTCCTGACCCTATAGTGATACTTTAAGGAGGCTGGGTGGATTGAACTTGATTTTCTTTTATTTTAAATTGTGAGTGTGTTTGTTTGTTAGGAAGTGTGTGTGTGCGTGTGTCAGTGTGTCTGTTAGTGGGACTGTGTGTGTGTGCCTGTTAGTGAGTGTGTGTGTGTGTGTGTGTCTGTTAGTGAGTGTGTGTGTTAGTGAATGTGTGTGTCTGTTGGTGAGTGAATGTGTGTGTGTGTCAGTGAGTGTGTGTGTCTGTTAGTGAGAGTGTGTGTGCGTCCATTAGTAAATGTTAGTGTGTCTGTTTTCTTAAAAAAAAATAAAGAACTTCCTACCTGTGAGTATCAACAAGTTCAAATCATATATAAGCAGTACTCTGAACTGCACAGAGCCATCTACAGCTCACATGCTAATTATATGCATGTTATAGAGTACATGCTGTTGTATTTCCCAACAACACACATAAGCACACACAGTTCCCACAAACACAACACCACTGAGAATCCACATTCACACACAAAACTCCACCAGCAGCCTCTCACATGTAATACCACAGGCAGCCCCACACATAAACACACACATGTGACATATCATCCACATCCACAATTCCATAAGCAGCCCCCATACACAGCCCACATTCCCACATTCCCACATTCACAAGTATTATACACAATAACATAAACTGCACATGAACATATACAATATAACAGCCCACATATGCGCAAGTATAACACTGCACAGCATCTGCAGCATCCATAAATAACACAAGCACATTACAGCAACACACACACACCTCATTTTAAAACAAATTGGACCAGCATGGCAAATTTCAAGATTTTATTTTGGCACAGTACTGCTAAAAGGTTTCCTACTCCTGTAATATAGCAATGATTAAATAGTCACTATATTAGCTAGTTACATTACATAGTCCAGTCGAAGAAAAAAGAGGCTCAATGAAAAATGTTTCATTTAGACTCCACTAGAAATTGGATACAAAGTTAATTACAAAGATAACAAATGTAGCTGCCAGGTAGACAACTGCCCTAGAGACCTGTATATACTTTAGACTACCAATGTAAAAACAAAGTAATACAGAGTTTCCATTTCTAAAGAGGTCCTGTAATAGCTAAAAGTAAAGTACAATGTATTTCTCTTATAGCTCCTAATATCTCACTAAGATTAAAATCCTTATACTGGACTGAGGCTATATGACCTGAATTTCCAAGCTAAACATCTATGCCTATTACTTTTTACACCAGAGCCAGTAAGGCTCCTACATACCCAGCTCATCTACTTAACTAATAAAATATTATATGAACAATTAAATCATATCCATAAAACATACTCCACCAAAATCATGTGAAAAAAAGAAAAGAAGGGAACAAAAATGCATAATGCACATTTTGGCACTAGAACAATGAGCTTTCTTCTGCAGCTATCAATGGAAGAAAGAAACACCAAGTCTGTAAATAGCTCAATGTGTGGTAAAGCCTGACCATTAAACAAAATTGTGCCAATTAGTGTATTTACTGGGGTAAACAGAAACGCCCATTAAAAGTTTCATGATAATCAGTCTCCTTAATAGGAGTCTTCTATTACATGTGCCAATACATGTCTGGTATACACCAGGTAAAATAAAAGGGTCAAGGTAAGTACTCACAATGTAGATCATAAATGATAGTGAAGTTGCAATCCCTATGTGCTGGGCCATCCACTTAGAATAGGTGTACCTATGGTTGAGGCAGGTAATGAGTATCCACTCATCACACAATCCTACTTACAGAATGGTTTATTTGTGCATCTCACAGCTAAATAATTACACCTCTAAGTGTGACTCTAGTCTATGGAGAGGGAGGTTACCAATTGCATGGTATTTCAGAATAAAGACAAGCAAGTTCACCTCTC